TTTTGGGCCTAAAATACAAACTTTATTTTTTAAACTGTTGGGCAGGCCTGATTTTTCATCCACATCACTGTCATGCGATGATAGGTATAACCGATATATTAAATATTTACTCTCTCGCAAGGGTGCTAAAGAACATGATTTCTAATATTTTTTTGACACATTTCTAAACAAATTATGATCATTAAAGATCATATATTATTAGCTATAGATAAAAAAAAAATGGTAAAGGTTAGAAGACCACAGCTTACATAATTCAAAGAAAGAATATAATAAAAGAATTTCCCTCAAGTTTTCTTCAATTTCCTTTGTGTTCAACATCATGACAATGCAATAGCAAAAAAGAAAAACACCATGACAATGACAAGTTGGAAGGATACGGAATTCAATTAAGGGTAAAACAAAGCATCAGTCAACTCTGTGCATATTTAATGTTTAGAATTCATAAACAAACCGAATTATTCAAATTTAGTTTGAATTCCACTCGTTTTGAGCTTGATATTTAGAATTGATAATTAATGATATCTATCTAATATTATAGAAAGTTGAATTGTCAATTTCTAAAACATAAACAACGATTAAGATTGATTTAATCTTCATTTATTTTGATCCATTGATATAAAATTCATCTAAAAAAATATTTTTTGCCCAAAAATATCAAATTCTCTGTATGACTTGCATGTTATACAATTCGATCAACACACTCGTTAATGTCAAATAATCTCATCAATTCATGCATACCTCTCTCTTTATTTTAATTTTAAATTATGTAATTAAAAAATATAAATTATTATTTAAAATATAAATATTATAATACAGTTCAATTTTTTATATTGTATAATATCTTTGAAAACAAGATTATTGCTAATTATATTACATATATAACGCCATTGCAATAAGAAATGAGTAGAGAAAAATTCATACGAGTGCGAACAAACACCAACGCTATTTTTTTCTCCAATCGCAATCGTGGACAATTCAAACTTCAACAATGTCAATGACTAGAATAGTTTAACTTCAAGAAAACAACAATGGAAACCAGGACCACACCTTGTGTGAGGGAGGGAGTGAGAGAGACATTATTATGGGTGGAGTTTGAAAGCTCTTTCTTTATTAATTTGAGAGAGACAGAGAGAGAGAGAGAGGGGCAAATCCTTCAATAGTAATATTTTTAACTTTTTCGTTCCCGCTCTCTCAAGATCTTGTGCAGCTCGGTTAGGTGAAGTGACTTGGAAAATTTTGCCACCACGGCCCATGGGTATGGAGAAGTGGGTCCACAATCTGATTATTTCCGTTAATTAGTTAGTACATTCCCTTAGTTTTCTTTTTCTAATGCTATATTGATTCTGATGGCGTGATTTATGCAATTGTGCGACAGAGTTTGGGGCTCAAAAAAGTGGTAATAGATTGGAGATTCGTAAGGGACGTTAATGGAGTTCATTGGAATACCTAATTAGAGTTATTAGGCTCTCAATGGTTAAACACTTAACAAAAAATTAATAATCGAGAATGAAAATTAACAGATAGGGGGTTTATAGTGGTTCGTTAATTTGAAAGCTTGACTAATCCATTCTAATAAAGTCTTTCGCTCCTGGGGAGTTTTCTATTGCTTAGAGAAGATGATTACAATGACCCTAAGAGTCAATGTACATATATTCGATCATTTACAATATGAGGGATTGATTCCTATTTATCGTGTGCAGGAGTCTGGTTCTTGTGTAATCAACGTGAATTTTTTAGAATTGTTATAACCTATGTGCAATAATATTTAGTCGTTGGAGACTAAATTTTCTAAATATGACGGGACCTTCTGAAAGGTGAGTTATCGTTGTCGTAGTATGCACGAGAGTTATGTTGACGCTGACTCTCAATTTGTTGTTTTTGAACTAGGAATCGTGAGCTGGAGTTGCAAGCTAGGCAGATATGAATTGAGAGTTCAGTTCGTTCACTCGACCCTAGTTCTCTAGACTTGGAACCTAGGTTCTGACGTTGTCATGTGGGTCCCTATTAGGAGTATGTCTCCGAATTATTTCTAGGTCGAGCTTAATCTTAGATAATTTTTTATGTCTATCAAATTCAAAAATAAAATAAAAGAATAAGACAAAATGATGTGAGATTAATATAGTGATATATTTAATCCTATTCCTATTTATTTAATTTTATTTACAACGTCAACACCATTGTATTTGGTTCTATTTTGTTCTTTTTTGTTTTATCAGTCTATACTAGTCTTACTATTTATATGAACAGTCTAATTGCAAAGCTTTCGATCGACTTGGCATAGCTGATGCCACTAAAAAGTTCGTAAGAAGACCCCAATTAGAAGATTTTATTGTAAGAGAGCAATTTTTTTTTTCAGTAGTCTGGGCTATTTGGACATACTTACACACACTTTGAGTAATTTCTTTTTCGGTCTGGTCAAAAACACCAGCTTACATGCACTTTAAGTAGTTCTCTTTTCAGTTTGATCAAAAACAAGTCATCTATGTCGGGACTAAGAGTATTTATGAAGATAAATCTCTCATGGTCTGACCCTAAAAAAATTATCAAGATTCAATTTTAGGATGTTTAATTTTATAATTCATTTATGTTACCACTTTAACTATCACCCAAATGAGAACAAATTTTACTAAGCCACTCGAAGCATTCACCGTTGAACTCTCTTTCTCTCTCCCCCTATTGTTTAAGACCTCTTTTTGAAGAGTGATGTTACAAGAATTTAATTTGGGGACCTACTTAGAGATCTAAATTAATGCACTTATTGGATAAGTAGTAAGTTTCAATGTTAAATGAAACTCATTTCTTTTTTTGGTTTAACAATTAGGGGTGTTCGGGCCAGCTTATGCGCACCTCGACTAATCTCCTCTCCAATCCAGTTAAAAAAAGGTCATTCACGCTGGGACTAATATTCATGAGGGATAAATCTCTTATATCAACATTCAAATTCAAAATATCTGAATTTAATGATTCAATCCAATGATTAAATTCAAATAATATTAGGTTGTCAAATTTCTATAACAACACAGGCTACCATGAGCGCCGACCCGACAGATAGATGCATAAGGAGCCCAAGCGATCTAGATCTGCATACTCCATTTATTAGTCAACAGCCTAACTACCCAGCCGACCATGGGCATTGGTCCCCGGTCTTCTATGGGCCGTTGTTAAATAATATCTCCGCAGTTGCTTAGTGTCATTCGAGAGTCTAATTTTTTTGTACTATTTTTTATCTTTGATAAAAGGAAAAGAAAGAAGGGGGTCGAATTAGGCTTCCTCCCTTCCACTGCATAGCTGTGATAGCGGGTATTATGAGCCCTCTATTCCACACATCTCTCCGATGTCCAGCTTGCGTTGTTCACTGATAATTTGATGAATTTGTCAAGTCAAGATCAACGAACGTAACAGCAAGAATAGTACATCACCTATTTCTCGTTCTCGCTCAAGAGCCAAAACGAACATGCTACCTATTGTACTGGGTCTTCAACCAGGCATTCTACCATTGTCGAAGAGAAACCAACACCACCTCACTACTGCATTAATGAAAGAGGTAACAAAAACTGGGCTCAAACTTGGAGCACAAAAACAGCACAAATCCTGAAATTTAAGGATGGGATAAATTAATGAGCAATTTCAAAATCCATACCATTCAAAACCCAGGCACAAGAAGACATAATCTCATTTTAACTTATGTCGAGTAATGTTACACCTATCAAAACTTTCATATTAGTCAGATGTGGAATCTAGTAGTTCTACTAAAAGTCTGTTTTGTACACAATGAATATTAGTGCATATGAGTTAAGAAACTCAATGATCGTTAGCTCAGGGAACAGCACAACATAAACCACCTCATATTAAGGGATGTTTAGTCAATAATCTTTCTGTCTTTACTCTAGTTATCGTTTTTAGATCATATTCTAGCAACATATTAATAATAAAGTAAAGTGTATAAGGCTCTTGTAATTATGAAGTCTAGGTCAAGTAAAAAAGTCTTATCTTTGTATGCGAAAGATTATTTGTATGACTCAAACTCATGACACGTGCAACGGATCAACCTAAACATCTCACCAAGACTCGACGTTAAACATGCTACAAGATGTACCTAATACAGCGTTTAGTTTGCTAGATTAGCTTATGAACTATTGCTCAAATCTACAAAAGGGGAAACATTATATATCCAAGCATCAACCCATGGCATAATGTCATGTTTCAACTGCACAAAACAATGGGCACCTATGCTGTTGTGAAATCATGAAGGTCACTTGATCTTACATGTTTTTTTTGATGTAATGAAACCGTATGCCCCTTTGGCAAACAGAACCGTCAATGGACTTTTTCCCACATTTAGGACACAACTATGATGTGAATGTCCACCACCTGAAAGACAATCTTAAACTTTTAGTTGTGTGGATGTTGTTGTATTCTTTTCTGTAACCATTATCTAGCATCATCTCTCTAATCTTCATTTTGAATGAAAACCTACACTCTATAAATATTTGTCTCAATGCAATTTTTTTTTTCAACGGTTAGGGTGTTCGGACTAATTTACATGCACTATAAATAATCCTCTTTTCGATCAGGTCAAAAGAAGATCATTCACGCAGAGATTAGGGTATTCATGAGAGGCAAATCATTCGTGACATAGCCAAGGGATAAATACAATCTCTTTTGCATGAGCACTACTTTTAAATGTTCATAGCTTGTCTTCTTTTCTCTGCACCACCATTTAAATCTGAATGCTTCTAATTGTTACGAGAGTGTTGGAATATGATGATGGTAAAAGCTTAAAGACAATATGAATATGATGATCCAATGGAAGGTTTTTACCAGCAAAGCAATCACATGTGGGTGCAAATAGAAGGAGAATCATTGAACTGAAACCTGAAAATGAAATATCTCCTATAGCTAGATGAGATTGAGAGAGTTGAAAGACAAACCTGTCTAGAGCTTTCCTCTTCTAAACAAGAAAAACAAAGAAAGAGCTGATTACATATATCTCTTCTCTTCTAATTTCTAAGCTTGTTTAAAAGGGCTGTAATAAGAGCATCCCTCTTCTCAGCTCTGACTTCTTCTCTGATCCTTTTTTGTTCTTCCTTCTCTCTCCACCTCCTATCCATCACTACCCTCTCATTTTCCAAGGCCTCCATGGTTTGTCTCCACTCCATCTCCTTCATTCTTCTCTCCTCTTCTCTTGCTTCATAGCCTTTCAGCCATTCCATCTCCATTTGCATCTGTTGTGTCATGAACTCCTCCAACATGTCTCTCAAACTACTGATATTTCCACTAATATAACTACTACTACTACCAGGGTTACTACTATTGCCCTTAATCTTCCTCTTCTTCTTACTGCTTCCTAATCCTTTCTCTCCATCACTGTCTTCGTCATCCTCATCATCTGAAGATAGCTGTGTCTGTGCCCCTTTCTTCTTTAACCCCTTCGCGCCGCTTTCAGCTTCAACCCATAGCATTCTTTGCATTCTCGCAGCAAAAATCGCTTGTAGCTCATTATAGAATGGAAACTGTTGGCGAATACCTGCTGGTTCCATCGTTTCACATCCCTATAGATCACAATGAAGTGACATACCAAAACCCATCAGCACAAAAACCTCATGATAGATAGTTCTTAATAAAACACACACACACACACACATGTATGCATTATTGTATTGACTGTTATAAATATGGACCTTGTATCGGGTAACAAGGTTTTTCCACTTGCACTTGCACTGTTCAGCGCTGCGATTGTAACCCTTTTCCTTCATCTTTGTGGAGATCACTTCCCAAAGAGGTTTGTTGCGTTTGGTTTCCATGAAAGTTGGATCGAGCTGGGCTCGAATCATCAAGAAGTCTCTTGTCTCTTGAATACTCCATTGAGGGAACCTATCACCAGCCGTATCAATACTAACAGAGATATGGTGACGACCCTCCATCACTTCGACCAAAACGAAGATAGGTAGATAGATCAACGGATGGAAAAAGATAGGTGTGGGGAGAGAGAGAGAGGAAAAGAAAGACTTATGTGGGGTGCTGTGTGAATCTAGGTGTGAATCGTCATAAAAAGAATGATTTCAATTGCGCGCCCAGGTGTCAAGGGGAGCGTTTTTGTTTGCTCCTTGAGTTTATCAGAAAACGAAAACCAACCAACACAAAACTTTCCCTCTTCCTCTTTCATTCTTTTCTTCCTGTCTACAGTCCCCCTCAGTCTCATCTCATCCTTCTACGCGGAAACTCATCTCTCTCTCTCTCTCTCTCTCTCTATATATATATATATATAGATTTATTTATTTATTTATTTATACACACACATAAACAAATGTAAATGTTTGACCTCCACATTTGTTCCCATTGCGTTGCAATGTCGTCACGCTTACGAGGAAGGAGAGTTTATGTATTTGAGAAAATATTGAGGATAACGGTGACGCGAGAATATGACAAGTAAATAAACAGTGTTAGATTGACTAAATTTTAGGATGAAATTTAGAGTTCAAATTCTGACTCAACTGTCATGTCATTTGGGCTCTAAATTTAATCATAAAATTTGATCAATTTAACATTACTCATAAATAAATAGATCTCAGGTGTTATAGTATTTACTCTTTTATATTATTTGATAATCATTCAAGTGCGATTTATCTTGTTTATTTATAATTTATTATTATACAATGATATTACGTGACAGTGATGACATGGTGTTACTGTTAAAACTAATATTTTACTCTATTTTATGTGGCTGGATTGATCTTAGACTTAATATATAGTAACTATATAATTAATTGTGAATTTCAACATTAGAACAAGCTCACTATTAATTTAACAATTATAATTGATAAAGACAAAAATTAAAGTATTGGCCTCCATAATCCAAGAACCCAATAAGCCCAGGAACCCTTTGATTGCCCCACAGCACAAATAGGGGGTCCATAGCTTGCACCGTCGGAAGTCTAAAAGGCCGGACCCGAGGAGGAAAAACCCAACTTCACTAGAAGGCTTGTAACCCAACCTAACCCCAATCCTCTCCGATCGATGAGCAACCCATGGTAAATAGGCCCAGCCTGACACGAACTTCAGAGCACCCCGTTGCACCGCGTGCCCTAAGGGCAAGGGGACCATCACTAACACCCCCAACAATCACACACTCCCGGGATGCAGTGTATTGGTGCGCATAACCATCTAGAAATCGTGAGAACAGTGACACCGAATGAACAGTGGTGCCGGATGACAGAGGTTGCTACAGAGTACAGACGAGGGACCAACGAAATAGGCACAAAAGAAGAAGGAGCAACAGGAAATCCTAAAAGAGTCATTGTATAAGTAAAGAACTATTACCCAACAGAGGGACTCTCTCTTCTTCTTCATTATTCACGTTCTCAAGCCAATGACCTAGCAATTAGAGCAAAACACACAACTCTCGTAAAGAACCCCCATGTCTGAATCATCATTGTACTCACCAAGGATTACGCAATATACGATCTTAAGGGATAAGAGACTCCATTACAATGGACGTAGTATTAATCCTTCAATTAAGGTGAACTACTTACATCCTGTGCTCTTTCAATCTCCTTAGATTAATAACCTAATCTCAAAATCACACTCGAATCCTTGATACTTCATCGGGTGAGTTTGGACCTTTATTTTCGAGCATCATCAATAATTATATAAAATTATAAATTAAGTCATTGGGAAAATTAGAAAAATTACATTTTACCCCATCAAGTATTGAATTTTTTGCACTAGTTTAACACAACTCAAATTAACAGACAAGTTTTGGAACAAAATTGTCCAAATATGGAATAAAGTACAAGTTTCTAATGTCTGGGATAACATAAAATTAATAACCATAATGAAAAAAATAAAACATAACAAATATGATAGTTGAAGGGACATGACAAAATTGACAATTAAAGTTAAAAATATAATGTGAGCAACAAAATAGTTTAATGCTCCGTTTGGTATGAAGGATGAAAAGTGTAAGAGATACATTTTCTATCTTTTAAGGAATGAAAGTAAGAATGATACATTTTCCTTCCTTTGTGTTTGACTGAATGAATGCAAAATAAAAATGACTAATTTTTTTTTTGTTGGCTAAGATTAGAGGTGACAATCGTGTCATATCGTGTTGAGTTTTTATGGGTTTATGTCAAACATTAATCAAATTTAACTTAACTCATTTAATTAATTGTGTCGTGTCGAGTTGCGAATTGATGGTGTCAATTTTGAGATTGACTAGTTGAACTGAATATGAGCCTTTTATATTTTTTATTCGCGTCTCAGATCATTTTCAAGTTCGTGTCGAATTATAATCAAGTTTCTGTCATAAAATTCGTGTTGAGTTTGGGTCGTGTCATCGTGTTGAGTAGAAAATTTTCATCTCTATCATTGTATTTTTATATGAAATTAATGTATACATAATATATGTATTTATCAAAAGATATATAGATAAAAAAGATACATCTCAACACAAATAATTAACATTACATCCACTTTCCTTCTTATTTTGGAGTGATTAATTTTGGTGAGTTGAAAAAAAAATTAATTCATCCACTTTTTCATCTTTTTTATTTTCATTCCTTATCAAATATGATGTTTTATTTATCTTTTTAACTTTTTATCCTTCAATTTTTTTCATCATACCAAACGGAGAATAAATGATAATATGAGATAAGAGACTAAAGTATAATTTATTATTATCGTATTACAGAGGATGAAATACTGAAACTGGTGTATAGAACATAAAATTTACATGAAAAATATGTACCACATCTGTAAATGTGTTATGCGAATACAAAGTTAAAGTATGTCAAAATTAAAAAGCTTATTTTAATTAAATTATTGTAGTAATTTGAAAAAAGTGACTTCTATACCTATTCATATATGTATATATTATACAATATAGAATGTGTAAACCGTGTGCTGGGGTGACAAAAAGAGGAAAAAAAAAAACTTGGATATTGATAGTGAAATCTCCAATGTGCCCTCTAAATTTGATCATGGATTTTGACCATCTAAAGAAGAGATATGATTATTAAATGTTGGATTGTTGTGGGCTGTCCAAGATTTTTAATCTAACCGTGTATGAATCTACGTGCGCGGTCAAGGCTGTCCACGTGGCCTATGCATAGGACTGATAAATAGAATTCATAATCGGGTAAAATTATTTGGGTTCAAATTATGTTTTCGTTTATTTAAGTATAGTCAATTATAGAAATCAATGATGGGTTTATGGGACCCACCTCTGATTTTTCTTTTATTTAATATGGAAAGCCATATGAATTTTATTGGGCTGACCACTGAAACGAGGCCCATGCTTTCCAAAATGCCTTGAGTTGTCAAATTCTTTCCATTTGTAGGCCCAAATCAAATAGGAGACCTTTTTTTGTGTGTTGTTTTGGCTAAAATATAACTGATGATACTCAAAATTTGGTGAAGGCTGAGCTTGGTCCTTTAACTTGTCCATCTAAATTCGAGCTATGCAGCTCACTATAAGCAACCAGAGGTCCTCAGGTTGGCTTCCCCTCCCTAGGCAACAATACCATCATGGGAAACAACAAAGACGGCAATTGACACCCATTAAAGTGCTACGTATAAACTGCAACGGTCCTGTATTTAGGTAAGAGAGTCGCAACTGTCTCAGCGCTATTCACGGTAATTGCATAACAAACGCATCTTTTATAAAGAAAAGATAAGGATCACACTAGGAAATCAAGCAAGGCCCTGAAAAATTATAAATAAGAGGCATGTCCCTCACAATGTAACAGAAGCAATTAGTCTGAACAAATATTCTGCGTAATCATTTCCTTTATCAATAAAATCTTTCCTGAGAATAAGAGACTTACTTAAGAGTTGATTAGCCGAGCTCCTGAACTGGTGAACCACTATAAATTCTCTATTTGCAATTTCTTACCCCTTGTTCAATTCTAAAGAGCCTAGGAGCTTTGACTAGATCACCCAATAATTCCTTGACTCCTTAAAATCACAACCTTGTTCAATTGAGCTACACACACCCAAAGACGGAGTCAGGATTTTTGTTTATCTAGAGTTAAGCTAAGCATTTATACGACTAACAAAATACAAATGTAAACTCATAAACATTTATTCAATAATACAAATATAAACACATAAACTCTTACTAATGAAATTGGATTCTTCGATCCTTCATAGAACAAAAGACATCTATTATTGAATCTGTATCAATTGCTTCCGTTATTTCTCTTTCAATGTAGACAACTAACGAATCAGCCAAATACTCATCTTCCATCTTGTTACGAATAGTACTTTTGACATGTTTCATGGCTGAAAATGCTCATTCTGAAGTTGCCGTAGAAACGGAAAGAGTTAAAATAAGACGAATCAACCTATCAATCAAATTGTAAGACTCTACCTTATTTGTTTCTATTAAACCATGACATAATTCTGAAATTGTAGACATACTTTGAAACCTCTCATGGTGAACCACATTAAATTGATAATGATCTAGTTGATAATTTAAATGATGCATGTCTTGTCTATCAAAATCAGCTGCATAAAACTTCTCAGCAAGTAAACAAATGCGATCAGGATTGAAAGATTTAAAGTTGTCCCAAGGATCTAAAGTAGAGCTGAGCATAAGCAATTTCATTGTCTCTCCACTGAATCTACTATGTAACTCTTCTAACTGATGATCAATCGTAGCATTAAATATGTCCATGTGATAGTGATGATCAACTGTAATATTATCATTCTGTTGACATGAATGTCTTGTCCCTTTGTACTGAGTGCTCATATCAGGTATATCGACATCAAATTCCATGCAAACTGATTTCACATGGTCAAGGAGATAATCAAAACCTTTTGCTCACAAGGTTTGAAGCAATGATTTTGTCGATGAGACTAAATTCATTGCATTCAAAATATCTAATGATTGCTCGCAAGGTTTGAAGCAATGATTTTGTCG